TTAGTGGTAAAGTTTTTGTAGACACTGGTGCAAAACACTGCGTAGGACGTGTTAGCCTTAGATCCCTGTTAATTAAGAATAAACATAAGTTAGATACTGTTTATACTGAACTTAAATATGCGGATGGTCGTGCATGTGCACAAAACGTTGTAGTGGCGCACGTCTGCGTAACATTGAGAGTGATAACGTTAGGCGTGGATTTTATTATGCTTCCTAACGCGACGGAAAGTTTATTAGGTATGAATTTTATTCAAGACATTAATGACTAAAGTAGTTTGCGCGAACCTTGAAGGACGTGAAGCAACGAATAGAAGATTAGCAGGATGCTCGGAAGGTAGACAATGATAAGCATCGCAGCAATTTTCCATCTTATAAATTGGGTGATCTTGTGCTGGTAAAGGCACATCTAGCTAGCAACGCTTCAAAGGGGTTTAGTAGTAAGTTTGCGCCAAGACGGGAGGGACCTTATCGTATATCTCAAATAGCCAGTCCTTCGTCTTTTGTAGTGTCCGATAGTCAAGGTCATGTTAAGGGCAAATACCATGCCAGTGCCTTAATGCCGTATGTAGGGTCTTCTAAAGCTATTGTACACCAGAGACTACGTGGCCGACCAACCAAGTCACAGTCGGGTCGTCCTTGTGATTTGGAGGGGGAGGCTATAGCGCGTAGTAATATAACCACCGCACCGAATGTCCCTAGAGTCAACCTTGTACCCCCGCGACGCTTCCCGCGTTTCCGTGCGCCTGCTTTTCCGCTCAAAAAAATTAAAACCTACCAAGAGACGAAGCCAAGTGAAGCTAGAGTGAGTCGGTAGTAATAAATAATATTGTTTGCGTTCCTTATATTTAACAATTTCCTTCTTTGTGAAATCAATCAAATATGACAGACGAATAGACAGACAAATGTGTGAGTGATAAAAAAATGCCTATAAATGTTTAACGACATTATAAGTTCTTATATAAAACAATTAATTAAATACAGTCATAAAGTATTTAGTATTACAAAGTATTTTGTAGCACTTGGTTACAATAAATTTAAATACGCCATTTTATGATTAGCAAAAAGAAAAAGCATAATAAATATTAATTAACGAAATAAATATTTAAAAAACGCCAAAATGTATGGATAGTGGATATCATATTCAATTGACGTGAAGCAGCCTTAATATAAATCTGAACACGTATTATAAATTGACTTTTATCTCATACATATAATATAACATACTAATTTACTAATTTATAGGTAGCGAATATAAAAAAAAGTACGTGTGTGTTCTTATGTACGCACATAAGAAGTTATACTTCTTTGGCGTAACAGAATAAAAATAGCTAAGATTTCATCCCATCTGTCACTACTCTCTGTTTGTAAAAGGAATGCAGCTAACTTCATCATGTCGCTTTTTGGCTGTTGGTGTGCGCGCATCGTAAAAATTTTACTCTCATATTTTTTTCCAAACGTGCCAAAAGAAGTATAACTTCAAAAAAATATATACAAACATAGTTCTATGTTTTTTTTATCGTTCTTGAAAGTCGGTTAATATTTTTAACAAAAAACCTATTAAGTACCATATGACTATAAAACTATTTTATTAGTGACAATCAATACGCTACATTCTAAAATCTATAAAATTAATATTGTTTTTTTTTTAACCTTTTTCTTTTCATTTTTAAAATAAGATGAAAAGAAAATAATAAAACACAGATTTTTTTTTTCTATACATGATTGACTTTTGAGTTAGAATCATAGATCAAAAAACTACTAGATACACAATCCCATGCAAAAGTTATCTTAAAACCCACCACTTGTGTTTAGATATTAATTATTCTAGTTGCAATAAATACACAACAATGTAAATTGAACCTTAAATGCAAAGCTTAAAATTGTATTCACAAAAAAAATTAAAAGCGCGCTCAAATGTTCAAATGAGCGCTCATTCGGTGAGAACATTTTTTGTTGCTGATTGTGTATCTAGTACTTTTTTGATCGATGGTTATAATTAACATTCAAAAATCATGTAAGTAATTTATTTGTTATATTATAAATAAAAAGGTAAAAAATATTATTATGATCACACTGGGAGATAAAAATATATCAATTATTTTATTCATACAATTGTTTTTATAAGTCTTATTGCATTCTATAATTTACATATAATCTGGTAATTAAAAAAACAGATCTTAATCAAATAAATCATCTTTTTAGGGTTCCGGAACCGAATGATCCAATAGAACCCTATTACTAAGTCTACGCTGTCCGTCCGTCCGTCTGTCAGAGGGCTGTATCTCATAATAGGTAGAGAGTTGAAATTTTCACCGAGTACGTATTTCTATTGCCGCTATAACAACAAACGATAAAAAACCAAGATGGCGAATTTCAAAAATGCTCGTTTATGCCACGGAACCCTTCGTGTGCGAATCCGACTCGCACTTTAAATTATTATCTGATAGATTGGCGATTGTATAATCTTGTAGATTCTATTTATAATATCATAAGCTGTGTCGCAATTATAATGACTATCTTTAAATATATATATATGTATATAGTTTTATTAAATAATGAATTGACAATTCATAAAGCCTTATTTTATATTTATATTATATAATAATATTCTGACATAAATAATGACTTCTAATACCATATTTAAAATAAAATAATATATTTTTTATTTAATTAGAAAAACATAACTAGATATATAAAAAAAACATGTGTATGTTACTTATGTACGCACGTAAGAAGTTATACTTCTTTGGCGCAACAGAACAAAAATAGCTAAAGATTTCATCCCCCATGTCACAAGTCTCTGTTTGTAAAAGCAAAAAATGCAGCTAACTTCATCATGTCGCTTTTTGGCTGTCGGTGTGCGCGCGTATTGTAAAAATTTTACTCTCATATTTTTTCCAAACGTGCCAAAAGAAGTATAACTTCAATAATACACTTTGAATAATCTTATTCCATTGCATACATGGTCAAATAAAATTAAAATAACATGAGAACAGTCCAATAAATTCAGTCTTTTTGATAGAAACTTTTTCCGCCATTTTGACACTAACGGCTCATACACGGGGTGACAATTATCTAAATCAATAATAATGAGTGACATACAAACTTTATTCTTTCAGTTATAATAAAAAAAATTAATATAAATCAATTGACATTGGTATTTTTTCTAATATTTTTTTTTGTAAAATATCTAAAAAAATTTTTTTTTTAAGTTTTAGATTTAGATGTATGACCGCATTTCATTCGGCTTTGTGGAAAGTCTAAATAAGACTCTTATCTTTTTTCTATGACGACACGTTTGGCTCAGTTTTTAGTGACCCTGCCAACGGTCACCGGGTTCGAGTCCCGTTGAGGGCGTTCATTTGTATGATGAGCACGAATATTTGTACTCCAGTCATGGATATTTATATTTATAATAATATGTATTTATTTAAAGTTAACTAGATGGTGTTGTGTGTTAATGTCCCAATATACATATATTCTACTCTCTTTCCAAGATGTTTTAACTTTCAAAATTAAAGCTTTCAAAATATTACTTTTCGATATCCTACAAACGAATATTCAATCACATTTTAGATTCTCCATATATCATTAAATCGTACATTTATCACTTCTCTATTTAATAGGCAGAGAGTTTATTATTTTTAATATGTAGATAAATATTAGGAAGCATCCATTAATTACGTGAGACAGTTTTGGCGATTTTTACACCAAAACTCACGTGAGATTTTTTAGTATGTGTATTTGCAATGTAAATGAATTAATCTGTGCTTCGATTACATTAGATTTATTTAAAAAAAATCTTATAATTTTCTTTAAGACTAGTTAAGACTAGTATTTAAGATTTTTAATAACGCAGCATAGAAATCCGTACGTAGCGTAGAACCACAATGAGAAAATCATACAATAAAATACTTAAATAGGAACTATTAAAATTCGTAAGATAATATTATTATATATTATATTTATTGAATGTTAAGAAATATTTGTTCATATTTAATAAACGAATAAATTGTTTTCAAAAAAATAATAATTTATTAATAGTTAAAAAATTCTTTTATCAGTGCATAATTAAATCGCAATGAATATTATTTAGCCATATTTTAGTGGAGAATTTTTTATACTTAAATGAGCCCAGTTTTCTCGCAATTTTACACAGTTTCTTGCGGAAAAAAATTACGCAATATTTGCCGAGACCACCACCCCTTTCAACGCCTCACGTAATTAATGGATGCCCCCGCCTTATGCTAATCATCTAATGTCATTAAAAAACCCATCTCCCTTTTACAGGCATAATATGAAAAAAAAACCTTTTTTTTTTAAATAACACTGTACTTTTAAAGTACTTACAAATTGCACATATGTTCCAAAATTGCTAATCTTATTTTAAACTATTCACATCTCATTAGGAATATGTTTTGTTTTCGCCTTACTTACGTTCTAATGCTCATTAGAAATCTTTATATTTGTTATTGGAATATAGATTTAAATATTAAAAAAAAACGATTCAATCAAAGCTAATAATTGTATACTAAGTGTAACACCAGGGATGTTGTCTAGTTCCGTAACCGTAACCGAAACTATCGGATATCCGAAATAATTTCATATCCGTATCACAAATAAGTTCGGCTTTTAGATAAAGGCGGATAAAAAACGAGACGCTATGATATAGTTATATTATATTATGAATCCAAACCCTAAACAAAAAATTACGATACATTGTTAATTTCTTAGAATACTTTTCATAAATCATAACTACTTCCGAAGCTATCGGATAATCCAAAATAATATCATCCGTATCCGTAAACGAAACCGACAGAATATTATTAACCGTATCCATATCCGAAATTATCCGAATATTATCCGTATCCGAAATTTTATATCCTTAACATCCCTAAACATTTTAAGACTGACATTTCATTCAATACAAGCGTACTATCAAATATTTATACACTTTATAAGGACATTATCAGCTCACATTATGTAGATTGTATGACTCATTCAAGGCTGGGTGCTAAAAACAATGCATTAGGCGCTGTACTAAGATTTGCAGATTGAAATGAACGTTTGATACTAACATGAGGGTATTGACGACGCCATTCGAGTACCTGAAACATAATATTTAGTTAAATATAAATTATTTATTATACTTTAGAGAACATACATATTATACTTTCATAGATTTACGCGAATATTTGACATTTTATTTTTATTTTTTCGGACTTTTTCCCGGATTTATTTTGATTTTTGGTTTCCGACGTTCGGATGCTTTACAGGAATCATGGTCACGGAAAAGAGTAATATTTTAGACGTCGCAAAGGTAAGAAAATAGTTGTAAAAGACAGTATCTACCCACAAAATTACACAATGATTTCAAAAATATAACTATGTAACAACTTGTGAGACGTCTAAAATTTGGCTATTAATACCGATGTATACATAGACTTTTTTGATACATTGTCTTATTATTTGTTTTTGTTTCATCAATTGTAAATCTTAATGGTGTAACATATCCTGTATATAAATAAATACCTCATTCAAAAATTAATGTTTTTAAACCCGAGCGAAGCGAGGGTGAGTCGCTAGTATTTTATAAAACACTAGCGACTCACCTTCGCTTCTCTCGGGTTCGTCCCTAGGTTGATTCCCCATACAAATTTTCATCCCCATTTTCACACCCTTTAGGGATGATTTCCGGGATAAAAAGTATCTCTTGTCCTTCCCAAGGTGTCAAACTATATTCTTACCAAATTTCATCTAAATCGGTGCAGTAGATCCAGAGATTACCCCCCTACAACGTCATAAACTCACAATTCACAACTTTACAAACTTTACCTCTTTATAATATTAGTAAACATAAATGCGAAAGTTTGGATGAATGTTTGTTACTCGTTCACGCCAAAACGGCTGAACGGATCTGGATAAAATTAGGCACAGAGATAGATTATAGTCTGGAATAGCACATAGGTTACTTTTTATCACGAAAAAATTACAGTTCCCGTGGGATATATTTGTATTTGTCTAGGGACAAACCCGAAGCGAGAGTGAATCGCTAGTATAAGATAATTACCTGTGCTTCATGTATTTGATCACAAAAACTAACATCGAGTAATCTGAGCTCGCGGCACTCCGCCAAGATACTGAAATTAGAAATCATTTTTGATTATTCATTCATATTAAAATATATTCATATTATGATCGTTGCAATAATATATAATTATTATTATTCTAGTCTATTTTAAATAGAAATAAAGAATCTTTTTTATAGTAATTAAGTTCACGATTTTAATGACTCTTTTTTATTACATATTTTTTTAATATCTGTCAAAAAGTAATATATGTATGGCTATCGAAGGAGTTCTTAATTACAAATAAAAGGTATAAAGGTAAATACATATTTGTGCCTACAATAATAATAATTTCATCATCCTTTAAAACTAGGTACTTAAAATTTGCCTATACTTTTAACCCATATATATAAAACAAATTCGGGTTTGTCTGTTATGATGCCCTCTTGTCCGATATCGGCCACGACAGCCAATCTCACCGAGACAACATATAAGCCAATTGCGCAGAAGATGTTATAGTCACTCACATCCTCGAACTGTCGTCTCCGGTGGGACGACCATTCGTCACCACCAGTGCAATATCAGCCGCAGGACTCTACGAGGCACTACCAATTTTCGGACTCCGGGCTTTTACTGAGTCTTATCAGAAAAACTCAACGACTCAACTAGACCCGACAAGGGACTTGAACCCAGGACCTTCGGCTGCATCAGCAGCCTTACATACTAGCCACCGAGTCAGATTCAGACTATGGATACCACATAAAAGAAAATACGTAAAATTTCGCACATACATAGATAGCTACAACACTTTACAACACTTGTAACTCGAGAACTGCTGGACCGATTTCCATGGTTTTTGGTTTGTTCGATTTGTCTCCGCCTCGAATAAAAGAATAACTATTAAAACAATGGAAAAATTCACGACAAAAAAAAATGAAAAAAAAAAATATATTCAATACTAAGCGTCAAAACGTTTAGTATATATAAGTACGTAATAGTAAAGTTGATAACAGTTATTTTATCTTCGAACAAATATCTTAGCATTTGTGGCAAAGGTAAGTAAATTACTATCTATCATCCTCCTTCTTTATCCTCACGATTTAAACATATAGCTTGAAGAGTATACCTAACTGCAACTGAGTATTTTATGATATAAAAACCCTAACTATTTTGGTCCGACTCGGGACTCGAGCCCAATACTCGACGATCACACATGCTAGCCACTAGACAAAGAAACAGTCAAAAACTAACTAGATCTCTTGATGCAACCAGGTCACGGAAAGCCGTTCCAAATACAACCTTTCTCTAAGAATAACCGTTAACCATTGTTATTTCGGTTTACTAAACCGTTCGTTTTTACTAACCGGTTAATGAACGAGTTTAACTAACCATTACATTACCAAAATCACCCTTTTTTAACTGGTTCCCGAGCCCTTACAACAATAAAATAAAGTCGTAACTTACTCAGAACATATATCGGATGTGACAGCTCTGACTCCCAAAAGGTCTAACTGGGCAAGTTTCGTAATTTTAGGCAGTAGCACGCGTAAATCCCTATCACAGATCCCCCTCAAAGCGCCCAAGAACAGCTTCCTTAACTCCCCACCAGATAATGCAGCAAGCCATTCACCCGAACCACCTGCTTGTAGGCTGAAATAATTAATATACAAAAATATACACAATTAGCGTCTTAAGTGTCCATTTTTTGGAAAATCTTATTGAAAATAAGACATTATAATATTAATAGACATTATCGACACAGAGGCTGAATATACAGTTTTTAGAATTTTTGTCTGTCTGTGTGTGACCGCATCACGAGGAAACCACTGGACTTTGATGAAATTTGTTATGATGATAGCTGGCTATCCGGGTCAACATAAAGGATACTTTTTACTGCGGGAAAATATCTCATCTCTAAGAAATCTATACTAAAAGTTAAAACGTAAGTAGCTAGTTACATACATAAAATTAGCATCCTTCCTGAAGTCAGTCCAAAGGTAAAGTCTATACACAACCACTTACCACCATCCAACATCTAACTCCTGTAGATGTCTACAGTGTCCAAGAGCCCGAATGCCCACTGCAGTTAAAGAGTAAGATTTCCAAAAATCCACTGACAGTAAGTTCGGACAGTTCGCACCTAACGCCATCGCTACTTCGTCCATCGCTGATATCATTTTACATGAACCTGTGTGGAAGAAAAGATTTTAATTTTCGGTTTAAAATGTTTTTATATCGTCAATATTTTTATGGATTATTTTTTTGTGTTTATTTTTAAAACATTTCCGACACAATCGTCAAAAAAGTGTTTTTTTTTTGTTTTTTAAATTTCCTTTTTGATTATTTATCTGGAATTTATTACATGATTTATTTAGTATATAAATATCTTGTGTAAAGATGTTTGTGGTTGCACTCCTCTAAAACGACTCGACCGATTTTAATGATTTTATTTTTTGTACAATTGGTAAGTATGAGAATAGGTCGTAAAGTATTTTTCACCCTCCCTCCTTCACCCCCCATTTTTTAATCGTGATTTTAGTATTTTTGTATTAGCAATATTATATAAATACATAGTAACGAACCCGAGCGAAACGAGAGTCAGTCGCCGTTTATCGTAAAGCCAAAAGCAGCATAGCATAAAAGCGGGCGTACCCGCGGGTTCTGCTAGTTTTAGTACATTATTTATCTCGATGCAATGCAATTGGGTAGTTGACACCACAAATCAATTCACATACTTTTTATGAGCAGTCAAAACGCGATTCCCCATACATTTTGTATTTCAATAAGCAACAGGGTTCGAAACGATAATTATCATTGATAATTATCACGATAATTCTAATAAAATCTTTTGATAATTATCGCGATGATTATCAAAAGATATATTTATCTTGATAATTTCATACCCTGATAAGCAACCGACCAATCTCCGTGTCTTCTCTATTCTATAGTGACATTGGCGAAGTATTGTCTTAAACTGGCACACTTTGAGCCATTAACAAGAAAATTGAATTGAATTGGCAACAGCAACAATGTGTGTGAATATTTGCAAACTCAATTGACTAAATATTTATTGATTTCATAGAAAATATTAATAAAAATCTGATTTCACAATTATTTGAAAATTATTCGGGTGTTTAACACTAAATTAAACTGTTTTTTTTTTTTAGAAACATTGTATGTGCCTTAAAATTATTGGTCAACATGTGAACGAATGAAATTAAACTTTATTCAATTAGACTTATAAAAACACTTTTGAAACTACTTAATTATGTTCATCTCGCAAACAACCAAAGCTTAATCCCTCAACGACCGCGGACACGCCGGCGTTACAGTTAACAATAGATTTCTTAGAATTTTAATTAATATCTTAGAAATTTACTTGGAGGTGTTAATTAAAAAAAAGTATGTATGTAAAAATGTACATAAAAAGACAATTTCACTTACCAACATTAAGATGTTGTAAGCCAGGATTGGACCAAACAATGGCGACAGCAGCTGACGTTGTTATATGAGTTCTGTACACGTCGAATCTTTTTAACTTCGTGAGAGAAGACAGGCATGACCATTCTGAACAACTCACTACCGATCTGAGGCATAATTCTGTAATTAATACATTAATATTCACATATTATATTATTCAACATATATTTTAATAAGTAATTATATGTATTGAACATATGTATGAATGAACGAATGAATGAATTACTCTTTATTGTACACCTAAAAAGAGAAAAAGAAAATATAGGTACATAATATAGAAGAAGGTACAAGAGGCGACCTTATCGCTAAAAGAGCGACTTCTTCTAGGCAACCTTTAGATATGTAGGAAATAGTACTAAGGTAGAAGGGTATGTATATTGTATGGTATAAAATATATGTATTATAATTACTATTGTTATCTATGTATTTTATGTACTTGTATGTTTGTGTTATTTATTATACTAAGACTACATGTAGTATATTATCTATACATATAACAAAATTCTAACTGAGTCGAATCTGTACATTAAATATTTTCGGAAAATCTTATTGAAATAGTAATTGTTATCGATACAGAGGTTGAATCTATACTTTTTAGAATTTTTGCGTCTGACTGTGACCGCATCACGAGAAAACCACTGGACAGATTTCGATGAAATTTGGTATGATGATAGCTGGTTACCCGGTTGTTGTTCTCAATATTTATTAATACATGTTGATATAGGATACATTTTACTACTTGGATACATTTAAATAAGTTCATAATTGCAAAAGAATTTTTTTGTGATTTAACTACAAATTTATGGTTTGCGAATTTTTCCCTTTACGCTCAAAGTATGAAAACATGTTAGTTAACATATTTGAAATTTTCCACCCAATAACGGCCAATAGGTTTGGATTAAAATCTTGATTTACACATAGTAAATCGCTTATAGCGATAAGGTCACCTCTTGTGTATCATATATTTGTTTATTTCTTCTTTTGTGTATTTCTTTTGTGGTGTACAATAAAGTATATCTATCTATCTATTTCATTAGTTTATTTTTATAAGTCTACTACGGCGGAATTGGGGGCAAAAACTAGTTGAACACAAAAAATCCTTATTGTTTTATTCACCTTTACTTATAATACAAAAATTAAATGGGACTCGTCAATATAACATGATATTACACAACTTAGATCTTTTATAAGAACAATAAAAATTAGATTTACCTTGCAAATTGGATGACGTGTCAACAATGGCTCTTAGCACTGAATTATCAACAAATTTACAACAGTTCATACGTAAGTGCGTTAGTTCAGCTCCGCTGTCTTTCAGGAAGCTGGAACAATATTTATTAATATTATTAATTGCTTTTATATCATCAAGGCTGTGGTAGCCCGGTGGTAACACGCTCGCTTGGAAAATCGAGTGAAGCGGGTTCAAATCCCGGGGCTCGCACCTCTGAAATTTTCATGTGCGAATCATTTTGGACATGATTACCACTTGTCTTACGGTGAAGGAAAATATTGTACAGAAACCTTCATGTCTGAGAGAACCTAGTCTGTTTGAAAGACATGCTCAGTCCGCCCGCACTTGACCAGCGTGGACTATGGCCTGATCCCCTCGTACTGAAGGGAGGCCCGTACCCAGCAGTGGGATGTTAAAATGGGCTGAATATGAATATCCTCGAGACTAACCATGTGCGAAGGACATATTACAGTACACAAATATGCGAGGACAAAAGTACATACAACAGGACGATATAACCGATGAAATATTAGTACAACGTCGTCGAAAGATTTCATTTCCTAACAGTATCTCATAGTATCCCCATAACATTATAAACTTCTTGTATAATAACACTTAATAATTTATGTAAATATTATGTACATACAAGCAAATTTCTTATATAAGATTATATAGCATTTCATACTAACAATAATTTTTAATACTAAAGGAAACAATAGTCTGTAATAAATAATAATAGCTATTTCAATGACGCAAGCATAAGAAAAAAACAATACGCAAAGTGTGTGCAATAGAATTTAACTTCAATTAACTAGAATGTGTTGGAAATCGTGCACATATAATTGAATGGTAGTCGATTCAATTCTTATTGTTGGTTATGGAAAGTTTAATAAATGTACTAAACTTATTTCAATTACAAAATAAAACCAATAAAATATATAATTAAGAAAATAATAGCGGGATGTGTTTGTAGCACACTAAAAGAGTTTGGTTTATACAGAAGATTCATTTGACTTAGGAATAATATATATTATGTTACCGGCCAAACCAGACTTCAGGCCTAACTGGTTAATCAAAAGTGTGTCAGAGTACACTAGTTTAGCCCAGGATAATCTTGTTTGGTCTAAATACTTTAGGCTCAACTAGTTTGGCCTAGGCCATACTGATTGAAATAATATTATTTCACTTATTATAATTGGGGGTTCTGGGTTTGAATTAATAAGACCTAACGAGAAGGCCAAGGCGGGAGCGAACCGTAGTGTAGCTCCCGCCTTAGCTTTCTACCATGCCTACGTTATACAAGTCGGGCCAGTCCCATAATAATACTACCCAATCCTCCAAAGGCTGCGCCCCATATACTAAACCGCCGCATTTTACCTCAAAATCAGTTCGGGCTAGCCCAAACTAATTAAGCCTGAAGTATTTAGTATTTTGTCTGGGCTAAACTAGTATATACGGACACACTTTGGATGAACCAATTTAGCCTAGGCCAAACCAGTTTAGCCTGAAATCTACTTTGGCTTGGCTTAACATATACAAGGCCTTAGAACTTTATTAAACTTAAATATCAAGTGGAAAGGTAACAATAAAGGCGAGTGTAGAAACGCATTGTTTATAGAAAGGTCAGATTCTGGATAAAGACTATTGTTCTAACTGTAATCTTGGGCTAAAGCCAATGATTCAGGGCTTAGACAATTAGTCATTTTACATATATTGAATAATAGAAATCAAAAATATATATATATATATGGGAATAACAAAATGATTCCATAACATACCGATCTTTGTCAATTCGATACAATTTTACAATTTTTTCAACAATTGTAGAATGACGTCTCGTCTAAGTCCCCTACATAGTAATTAATTTTTCTCTATCAAAATGTTTTTCGTAGCGACTTAAAGTTCTGAAATTGGTGGTGTGTGTAATGTTTAAAACAAATGCAGTGCACTTTTACAAACGGTAAAAGTACACTGGTATACATATAAAAGAAAAACTATTATGAACACTTACTTCACAACATATTGCGGTTGTATCATACAGTGACTACCGCACCAAGATAAATCTAGCTTCTGAAGGTACTTGCACCGCATTGAAAGTGTCACTAGGACCTGTAAAAAGCGATTTTTTATATTTTTATATAAAAATCTATAATAAGTGATAATGATCGTTCAGAACATATTTTATTTTATCCATGGTATTAATCATTTTTTTTAATATGTTGGGTCATTAACACACAGCACCATCTAGTTCCATGGTAAGCTACGAGGCAAGTGGTTCATACACTACACATACATATACTACACACAACTTTAAATACATACATATTATAAATATTTATTATATCATTGGTATATCATGGTGTCATACATTAAAATATACTAATAATAATTAATTTGTGTTTTACTTCTTTTCTTATGTACGTCAAATTCAATAAAAAAAATTATTTCGTTAATTTTATTTTTAGAGGTCGCTCGATATATCGCTTTAGATACACTACGTTTAAAGTTAAAAAAAATATGAGCGACGCTTAGAAATTATAATATCGATTTGAAAATTTTAGGAGCTATTTCTTTATTTAGAAAATAATAAAATAACGAGAAAAAAATATATCTCTGGAAATCTAAAAAAAAAATAGTTTTTTTGAGCTGATCTTTTAAGGAGACTTAAAACATGATATTCTAACATGTTTATACATGAGACACGAAAAATAATATTCGTTTGTTTTTTGGCCACCCTAATATGTCCTCATATATGGAAGATTCCACAAGTTATCGACGTTATGTCTCACATAGCTAATTTGTTATTAGAAAATACTGATCGCGCAATATATTTTTTGAGTCTACATAAGTGACCATTAGAGATAATTTGCATGTGATTGATTACTTACAATCATTTGTTCATTATTATTAGGGTTCCATATCGAATTTCGTATTCCAATGTATAGACGAATGTCATGTGAACCGCAAAACAATTCTGCAGTCAAATGACGAAAAATAAAAAATAAGGGTGGCAATACTAGATGTATACGAAGGGGTGAAAAAATTATAATTAAGTGTATGTGGAATTTCTTGATAAATTTTTAAAACTGAGTAACTACCCGATTTTTTTTTCAATTACCTATTATATTACTAATAATATTTAAAGGAAGTTAATTTTAATAGCAGTACATGAAAATATGTAAAATAAAAATTCGCATTTTAATCAAATTATATGTATTTTTATAACCGGAAATATGTACTTTTATAGTTCATAGAGGTACCTACACTTGAACCATTAAATATATTTAAATAGTTTTAACTAAAGAGGTTTAATTAATGTTAAAACCATTATAAAAGTAACTATTGCAGCGTTAAGGATACTTTATCTTGACACCTGATACAGGACGATTTTTGACGTATAACATTTTAATAAAAAAAAAGAATCATAAAATCGATTCACAATTTCGGAAGTATGTTCTCAATTTCGCTAAACTTTTGTATGTTTTTTCGACTTTGTGTTCGAACATGGTGCCATGTAAATTTAAAGAAATAATAACTTGAAATAAAATAACTTCATTTTAATTTTATTTTCCTTTTTATTACTAGGCGATTATGATATCTTTAATTATATGATTATTTATATTAAAAAAAATGTTACAGATTAAAAAAACACTTAAAGATGTAATAATTACGTCATTTTCAAGAATATTTTAAGCTATTTAATTCTATTAAAAAGGAGGAAAAAGTTATTATAACAAAACTGACGTGAGTAGTTTTCTCAATATTATGAAAACAATAATTTGTATGGTACAGTGGAATAAGTGCTATGGCACGACTCCAAGTTCGATATGGCCTTAGCACGCATATTCAGAATTCTATAAGCAATAACCACGTATATTTGTTTATTTGTTCAAGGTAAATTTGGTATCAAATGAAACGATATTCTATTTATTTTTAGTACTAGAAATTTTTCCTGAGCCTTCAAACTTTGCTAATATTAGATATGTTACTCTATAACAAGGTCAAAGATCTAAAATTATGTAATACATATGTTCTAATGCGTTTATCTCAAGAACTACGATTAAAATAAATATATTTTTAATTAAAATCCTTTTCATTGAAAAAGGCTATATATATATATATATATATATATATATATATATATATACATATATTTGACCATCCGTCCTATACTCAGGATTCGACTAACTTTTACTTTACAACTAATTAATAATTAGGGAAAATTTCAAAATATATTGGGGCATTAACACACAGCACCATCTAGTTCCATGGTAAGTTACGAGGCTTGTGTTATGGATACCAGATAGTTGATACACTAAACATGTATAACTTTAAAGACATACATATTATAAATATAAACACCAATGACTGGAGAACGAACATTCGTGCTCATCACACAAATGAATGCGCCCAGCGGGACTCGAACCCGCGACCGCAGGCACAGCAAGCAGGGTAGTAGTAGGGGCACTACAAACTGAGCCAAACGTATCGTTAAAATATTACTTTTTATGGATATGTTATTGGATTAAATTACATTGCCAATATACATCACATCTTCCTCTTCTTGATATAGGTATATCTCCATTAATTCAATAGAAAATATAAAAAATTGTAAGTTGAAAAGCTCGTACCCAAAAGTAATTCGTAAACATTATAAAACTAATATATTATTAGAAATTTCTGAAAAAAAAATGAATGAATTCTAATTCTCGAACTATTTTAATATCTATGACAAAGTCGTCATAGAATAAAAGACAAAGTTGTCATAGAATTAAAATATCAAAATGGAAATGTTATATGCATAAATCACTGATTCTACATACCTGAGACCTTACACAATGCCAGTAGGGTCTTAGATCGATACTTCTGTATAGTATTGCGTCTGAGGCCAATCTGCTGAAGTGTTTGTTGACTTGTGCACATCGACAGAGTGACTGCATGTCCAAATATTTCAACACTGAAAGAATCGTTTCATCCTGAAAGAAATATTCTATTAATATTTATTTCTTTTAACTTTTCCAATAGTAGTTACAATATGGGCAAGTTTCCTTGGGTTTTTCTCTTTTTTTTTTTGGAAACAATTTGAAAAGTCGTAATAATTACATATATAGATTTGAAACCACCTTTGAGCAATCTATTCTATCTATTAATTAAAAAGAAACACTACAAAAATGGATTCACAAAAATATCGTGTAATATACACAAAATTATAAATCCTAATTAAATACCTTCTCCTTTTAAATAAAGGAGGTACTCTACCATTCGAAACGTCGGGAGCAATCAGACCATGTTAGATCTAGCGATTGATGTTAAACTATAATAAATAAATATATATATATATATATATATATATATATATATATATATATATAAACTATAATATGATAGTAAACTAAATAACATCTATCAATCAAATGTTTAGATAACTTGTTAGGTACATATTCTTATACAAGTATGGGCGGCGTCAGAATTATTTCCAGGGGGGTTTGCATGTCCTTCTTCACATTAAGGTACTAATTTTCAAATGATTAACTTTATATTTATTATTTATTATCTTTTTTTGAAGATAACTAAATTTAAACGGGGAATTTACTAATACCATTTTATTTCTGTAACTTTCTCTATATAATTTCCTTCATGGCAGGAGGGTGCAAACCCCTAAGGGCCCCATGTATACAAGTTCCGTTCTTAGTGATGATATTCTCCTGACCGATTCCGGCCACGGCGGCCAATGTCATTGAGACTAGCCAACAGCGCAGGAGATATTATAGTGCACAAGTGTACGCGCAGACACAGGTGCACTCTCTGTTCCTGTCACTCTCATACTCCGGTGGGACGACTGCTCGACACGACCAGTGCAACACCGCCAACTTCCCAACCCCGGGTTGTTACTGAGGCTTACTTTACAGAAAAACTCAATAACTAAACTTGACCCGACCCTGGACTCGAACCCAGGACCTCCGGGTGTGCAGCCGCACATGCTAGCCACTACACCACCGAGGCATTTAATGGTAATTGGTTCTTAGTGATAATACATTTGACGCCAGAGTTTTTGATTTTTATTTGATGCTCGGCGTAAATATTGTTTTACAAGCCAATTAGTGTTAGTTAAACTCACGCACGGGGATTCCGTACCACCACACTTTGTTTCCGATATTCACATTTGGTCACTTTTTAAAAATATTGTAATAATTTAAAGCTTACGTTATAATTAAACATGCCAAGTTTTAACGCTTGTATGAGTTAAAACGTCTTTAAGTAAAACAGAAAAATCGAAAAATAAATATTATTGCAATTTTTTTTTACTTTGTTATACATACTAACGTTTATTTTGTAATAAAACGACGTAAGGCAAGGTCCTAATGTTACGAATATATTTATTTTTTTATTAAATTGTTATTACCTCTATAATCTATAAGGTTGGGAAAAGTTTGATGGGAAACAACTATATGTAACCCGACTAATGTATGTATGTGGATATGTACCTATGTATGTCATACAAATTTAGATTTTTATACACATCTACAGGTACAATTTAGCAGTCGATTCCACCTTACGTGGGTATACCGAATAGTTATTACCTTGATAATGGCAGTAAGTAATATAAGAGCAATTCAACACCAGCTTCGTTCAATCTTCATTAAGGAAAAGTAATGAGATTACAATAATAAATAAAAATTGTATTGTAATAAACTGTTACATAATTGACTATAACTTTTTTGCCTTTAGAATTTTTCAAGATGATTATATTTTTTTACTTTGCGGAAATTGAATTTATTCTTTTCAAGCAATTCTATATTCAATTAAAAAGGTAAATAGAATCGTTTTATTTTAATTTCCGGTAACATAATTATATTGTGATGAAAGGGCTAGAAGCCATGAAGTATATAAAAGATAAACTTGAAGAAAAACAATGCAGTATATTTATAAACTAGCGGCATATCCCGTCTTCGTCTAGGGTTTTGCCATATATTTTATCTATATGAAAACTAACTAGTGACCATATGACCTATTATTAGGGAATATTTTATTAGGGATCATGTTTATTTGACTTAATTTACGAATATCATTTATACCTGTAGCTTATTTTCCTGACATGTTCATGAATAATAACCTATAACCTTCCTAGATATCCTTTTATCTATTGGTGAAAACAGTATGAAAATCCGTACAGTAATTTCTAAGATTAAATCTACTAAACATAAACGCAGCACGGCAATAATCTTTAATCTATACCTACCTACATATAATAAAAGTGTAATTGATCGCTGTCTGTACATGGAAGATATTTGAGAAAACCTATTATTGGTGGTCTTTATTAACGCAATAGAACCCAAAACAATGATTTTTAGCTTTTCGTCTGTTTGTCTGTGCGTTTGTGCGCGCTAATCTCAGGAACGGCTTAACCGTTGAGTGCAATTTCACTATTGTATTGTGGTAAGCTTTACTTAGCATTTAGTATTTGTTTTATTACATCGGTTCATAAACAAAAAAGTTATGTCTATTTAAAGAATCACCTAGGGACAAACACGAGCGAAGCGAGGGTGAGTCGCTATTTAATAAAATGTTGTGATTTCAGCCTTCTATAAAATAATTATACAACAACATACGTCTATAATATTATTGTTATTTTTTATCAAAGTAACTTACAACACTTATAGTGTAACTTCGTATGCGAAAGTATGTAGTAGACTACTATTCCAAATAAGTCATTACAAAAAAGTCATATTAGGTATATCATGCATATATATATATATATGTTCTTCGTGTATGAATAATTGAATAATTTAGACCGTCTGTTACGTGACACTGTCTAGGTCAGGTTTTGTCGTCGCATTTTAAGAGTTCGATGTCCGCGTTGACCTTTTGGTGAGGTTTTTTTTAATCTTAGGCTTTAGAAAGGTGAAGAATATAATAAAAATATAATTAGTTGTTAACAACTGTGGCTTCACAAGTTTTTTTAGTCCATCATCACTTAACATGATTCCTTTACAACCGACTTTGAGAATGAGGAGGTTGGATGAGATCTTCGCCAATATTGTAAATCGATTTTCTTAATCCTTTACTTAATTAATTAAAAAAGAATTATCTTTGTTTATACCATTTAAATGTCAAAAATAAATCCATCCCTAATGGAAAAATTACTAAGTGATTTTGAAGTCAGTGTATATTTTTTTAATTGTCGTTAAAATGTGTTGTCATCTCGTGTTTTTTTAATTAATTTTTTTATGTAGTTCCAATCATTTTATCATATTTTATTGAATATCTACTGTATTCTTTTTATCCCTCGACGCAAAAAGAGAATCTATAGTTTTAAAATTTTAGTCTGTTTGTGACCGCATCACGAAATTATTAAAAAAAAATAATTAAACCGACTTCATAACCACAAATAGGCACTCAAAAGCGAAAAATAAATTAATATAATTATTATAAACTCTACCCACTCATCTACTGAAGTCGTTGCCAGCCAAGTCTAATAGGTAGTAGAAAGATACTACCTACAAGTATCTACCTACTTACTACATTCATAGTACACATTATCTATTAAGTAGTAGTTGGCTTGGTTGGCAAAAAATCTTACAATACAATAAAATTGACAATATTCGACGCTACATTAACATCTCGAGTTACTTATATGTTAATAAACAAATATATATAACGTAAAAACTATGAAGATTTTAAATAAAATTACTCTAAAAACGAAACCGTATATTTAATAACATAATATCAAAAAATATTCAACGTAGGTAAGTTAAGGTAGTCTTTAAGTCATTTTTTTTTTGTTGTCGCTGGGGAAACCCATCATGGGGACCCTGCCCGCCGTCATAACGGACAAGGTACTGTGAGACTGCTACTCACTAAAACCCACAGCGGAACCCTTCGCCGCAGTGCAATGGGGCGTTGCAGGATCGCTTGCGCACACACTACAACACCCCTGCGGAAGTCTTTAAACCCTACTAATACTATTGGTACGTGTCTATAGTAATATTTGAATGGAATCGAAGTTTATTTGTTCTTTGTCTATTAAGAGTTCTAACCTCGGGAAATATCAATCTGCTTGGAAATTTTTTATATTGTTTCTGCCTATTTACTGATGAAGGTTACAGGTTATCTAACTTCTCGTTATCGCCCTTACGACCATGGCAATTATAATTTATACTTAAGCAAACAATACGAGCAGAGCCGCGTGTGAACGCTAGCGTTTGTATTTTTTATATACATAATAATAATTGTAATAGGGTTTATCATTTTATTTAATTTCATATTTAAATATTATCTTATTTTTTGTAGAATTAAATTCAAATATTATTTTCGTCAATTTTCTCAATCGATTCCAATTGAACCAGTATAGAGTACGTACTGGTCGTTACCGTTAATCGATTTGGACAGTCTTTATACGAGTATTATTAAAACACCGAATTAGAAAATATTTAATTGCTTTTTACTTTTATCAGTTACTAGCTCACCTTCGCTCCGCTCGGATTTGTTCCTACTTTCATTTTAACGTTTAGTATAGATTTTCATTTCTCAGAGATATTTTAAAGTATCATATATGTTGATCCAGATAACCAGCTATCTTCATATCAAATTTCATCAAAATCCCTCCAGTAGGTTTTCCGTGACGCTATCACAAACTGACAGACAAAAATTCAAAAACTAAAGATTCTGCCTCTGTATCGACAATAATGCCTGTTTCAATAAAATTTTCAAAAAAATATTTAATGTACAGATTCGGCCTAGTTACAATTTTATTATATGTATAGAAAAGCAACTATATATTTTTTAACTAAAAGAACAATACAGATGATATATATACCTACAGTGTCCACAAATGATAATGAATATTATTATTTTTTTCAAGCCTAATATATTATGTACATGAAAGTATAGAGTTACGTATGTTTGAGAACTAACATTAACTGTTACACATAATATAATATGTATGTATCTAATATAAGTGAAATGAAAAGTAATTCGGTAAAATTATAACAAAAATGGGAGTTTTCATTTAAACTGTTACGATTATTTTGAAAACATTTTTATTATTTTAAAATGGCCTCCGAACAAAAGTTAATAAAACTGTTGACATTTCCTCTCGGTTTATTTTCGGTCACAGCGGTCAAATTCCCAGTCTAATAGGACAGACCTCGACACATCAACACAATAGAAAAAACAAACTGAGTCTAAATTTTAAACGGTCGAGTAAAAACAAAAATGTACGTAAGTATATTTAATTTCCATTTTCTAGCTTGAAAAACTAAAACGCCTTTATAATTAGTAGTACTACGTTACAAGTTGTAAGTTATATATTAGTACTAGTTACGTTTTAACGTTTAGTATAGATTTTTTAGAGATGAGATATTTTCCCGCGGTAAAAAGTATCCTATATGTTGACCCGGATAACCAGCTATCATCATATCAAATTTCATCAAAATCTATCTAGTGGTTTTCGCGTGATGCGGTCACAGACAGACAGAAAGACAAAAATTCTAAAAACTATACATTCGGCCTCTGTATCGATAATAATGACTATATCAATAAGATTTTCCAAAAAATATTTAATGTACAAATTCAATTCAGTTAGATTTTTATTATATGTAAGCACCTATAGATAAAAAAAATTCAAGACACAAATTGGCGCCTTGGATCCACCATTCTATTGTTTAATGATAACTATATACCCTATGACACTCGATATCGACTATCAAAACGAATCGAATGACATGATGAAACACCAAAATCGGATAAACCGTTTAGTAATAACGAGGGATCATAGGATCGAACATACATATATACATACATATATACAAGTCAAACACATAACCCTCCTTTGGGCTTCACCGCAATCGGGTAATAAATGGTTTTAGAGCAGAACTTTATTTAAACCACGAATGTTAAAAGTGTTGATAACATACCGGTAACTGTTGAAAGTCTCCTAATGGTGGTCCCGTGTCAATAAGAACGTCATTCGTGGAGATATCTATTGGTTGGACTATTTTCTCATGAAGATTCGAAGCAATCACTTTATTCAGAAGCAAACCTGAAAGCCATATAAAATTAATTTCCAAGTACTCATTTCACGCTTTACTCATCAGTCATGGCGTGATATGTTTTAACAAAGTAGCCATGTAATTATAGAAAGGCTACCTACATAAAAATATCAGGAAGCAATAATTGAAAGAAAATTGCGTGAAAAGTATGAAAATTGGCAAAAGGCTAATTTTATTAGTTTTTGTAAGTGGGTAAGTAGAAACTATAAGAAAAATATATTAAAATAACTATAAAGAACAATGAAAAAATTTAAAGAATTAAACAATTTCAATAAAAAATTAAACTGTCATTGCGTTATTCTAAAAAAAAATATCAATGAAATAGAACTCGATATTTTTGCAAAAAGTATTTTGCAGTATTACTGAATAAGCTATTCTATTAAAAGTCAACGAATATAACGCAACTGTATTTGTAACGTAAAAAATTACAGTATAAAATGTATTGAATAAATTAAATTAAAAAATTTAAATGTGCACTAAGTAGCATTTGACCCACGACATTACGTAAAAATGAACTTTAGAATCACTACACAAGTATAAGTAGTTTCTTGAATCTATAATATGAATATTGGGTCATAAACATTTTATTAAAAAAAATTTTTTTTTAATTTTGGCAAACGGCGGCAAAATTCGAAAATTTTGGAGAACTAGCTAAAATAAAACTGCGACAGAATCCAAAATTAAGAGAGTCTTTGTCATTTAAAATGTTCTTCTGTCATTTACAATGTCAAATATTCGTGTAAATCTAAGAAAGTTTTAAAAAATAATCATGAAAATCGCTTCATATTTGCCCTACCCAATTGAGTTAAAATAGGTCCTGTTTTTTGAAGTAGGTCAAAAAGATACGAGTTGCACAAGAGGGTTAATATGATAATTTTAAAATTTTAAAGTATTAGGTAAACAAAACTAGGGAGATATCTTTAAAATTTATGGTATGATAATAATCTAATATGGAGTATGTTTTTCAAACACTAAAGTTCGTCATACCTTGGTACTTATACGAATATAACGCGCGATAAAAGAAAGGTTGCAAAATCTACGTGTACATAAAACGCCAATAAAACGCAGAAGTCTTGCTTGGTTAACTAGTTGGTATAGATAGTGGGTTCGATTCATGATACTTTCTTAACGCGAATATATGATTTTTTTATTAAAACTATTTTATCGGGCTTTTTCGCGGTTTTATTTCTCTGTTACAGTTTCAAAATTATAACGTAGGTATTTTTTGTGTGTCCTCCCTCTGTAATCAGTAATAACTAACGTTTAAGACTAGAAAAGGCTTAATCTCTTCCGTGACTATGTTTTCTGTAAAGCAATTTCGTTTGAGTTTAACACAAAATAAACCAAGGAAAAATCCTAAAACATTGTTTTACTTAAAATGGGATCGATCCAGTTGAGACGTAAATAATTGTGTCACTTATATTCTTTTAATTAAATAGATAAATATTTGCTACATGTATGTACGACAGGACATATCAGACCATACCTTTGAATCTACTTAATATAAAAATCGGTGATGACACACGAACAGACAGACGGACAAGAGAGTGATCTTACAAGGGTTCCTTTTTTACCTTTTGAGGTACCGAACCTTAAAAATGAATCAACCTTAGCTATCTTCATGTAAAAGACTATTGACCGATTTCAACAACAACCCATAAGCTACCACCTAAAGTCCCCCAAACTAGCCCCTAAATTAAATTTCGTTTTACGATCGTCTTTAAGCCCATATTTCGAGCACCTTTTAGGGGGCCTTTTAATATTTAGGTGACCCCTAACTGTCGGTGAAACAGAAACTGTCCCCTAACAGCCCCCTAACCATGCTTAGGGGATCCCTTAAACTTAGGTGTCGTTGGTGAAATCGGGCATATGAGTTTTATTAAATCCGTCGAACAGTTTAATCAGTCTAGGCTAAGCCAAATAGATCAAAATACTGGAAAAATGTTTACATCTGTTGACCTAAATATCGCAAGACATGTCCCAAAAATACGATAGGAAAAATTCAAATAGAAACACTGCTGCTATTCATAGTTATGTAAAACAGACATAGGTATTGCTCAAACGTTTAAATATCCCACAACACGAAACGTCCACAGTCGTCATATATTCATTTATTCATTCAGCCCTATTTTACCGAGCACGAATCTCCTTTTTAATGCAATATAAATCGCGTCATAGCCCACCACACCAACCAAGTGTGGATTGGTGGACTTTACATGTCTTGTTCTCTCAGACATGCGGGTTTCATGTTAAAATAATCATATCTTTGAATGTTGTAAAACATAGTAGTGATTCAATTCAATAAAAACAAAGCTTGCACTAGCATTTTGTAATAAAATAAGGAAATCAAATGGATACGCAATTAATGAGCGGCCTTAGCTAATATTCACGATCAAGGTTAGTTTTAACGAGATGTGATAAAAGTTGATAGGATTTTACTAATAATGTATTATTAGTAAAGCTCATAAAAAGCAGTTACGAAGAATAAATTCTATTTAAAGGGAGTTAAAATTTATAACGGTATTATATCTCTGAAAAAAAATCTATCTAATCTATACAGATAAATAAAATAGTATATAAGTCCGTTTGTAATGTCACGTCAAAATAACAGCTTTATACTAAATGCAGATGGAAAATTATATACGGTATTTATAAGAAAAACATAATTTTTAAAAGTTTTGTCTGTTTGTTCCGGCTAATCTCCGAAACGGCTGGGCCGATTTTGACGGGACTTTTACTGGCAGATAGTTGATGTTATAAGGAGTAACTTAGGTTACTTTTATTTCAGTAAAAGAATTAGGGTTCCGCTCAAAAAAAAAATCAATCTCTGGTAAAAATTTAATCCAGATCTGTCCAGGCGTTCTGGCGTGATTGAGTAACAAACATCCATTCAAGCTTTCGCATTTATAATATTACATAATATTAATGGGATTAACTCATAGACTTTAAATATATCATATTAAGATGAACAGATGGATAATTATTGATTCTAATACATAACGTTATCGCTGAGTGAATATTGGTTTTTACAGAATATTCATTATATAAGAAAAAACTAATCCAATTAATAGCTAAATCTGATTACATAAAAATACCGTATAGGAAATTATGAAGTATAATTTCATAGCTCTTTGTTGTAGATTATATCTAAATTTAAGCTATATTTTTTCTTTATCGTATATCAGAAAAATCCGTGTAAGTGCGTATGAGTCAAGTTAAAATGACCTAGAGTAATAAAATAATCAGAACCTCCTCACGTCATATGTTTACAGTCTAATAATAGCTGGTCACGTGCACAGTAGGGTTATCAATTAAAGGTTTTTTATACTATTGAGTATAATATAGAAAAATAAACATAGAATATATTTTAAAATATCAACAGAAGAATTATAATATACACGGAACCCGCCAAAAAAAATGTTAAAGTCAAAAATAGTAGCGTGATTTGCTGTTTGTGCTACTGTTCTCGATTTTGTCAAAAAAAATGTTTACTTTCATAGAAAAATAAGGGAAATTTTATATTACTTAATAAATATGTATTAGTCGTTAATTTAGAATTTTTGAGAAGGAAATATTAATAATAAAAATAATACTGTGTTATTTTTAAGCATTAGTACTCTTCACCTTGAAAGAAATTGTACAATAGCAACTATTTTTAACCGACTTAAAAAAGGACGAGGTTCTCAATTAGATTAATATTTTTTTATGCATGTACACCGAGTACGCTGAGATTTATGATCCGATTTACGTGATTCTTCTTTAGTTTGATGCGGAATAGTTGCCATTTAGTCTCATAAAAATTTAAAACATAGTTTGACCCAGTAGTTTTCATTGAATATTTTTGTTTACGTGGACGATGTAATTTTATTTTAGTTTGTGTACGGCTTTTTTAGGAATTTTCATTTAGAAAATTGATTATATATTATTATTGACCCGTGTCCAGATAAGTGGGTATTAGGCTACCTGTCATTGAAGCGGAGCGACCGTGCGGAGTAGAGAAACTGAGAAATATAATAACCAATCCTTACATTATTACCTACTGTAGTTTACATAACAACCTATTACAGACACTAAAAAGTAAAAAAAAACTACGTTAAAAAACCGACTTCGAAAAATAAAAAGTATAAAATAACTTAATAAAGATTTAATTTAATACACCTCTTATGCAAACCTAATTAATACCTTTATAATATTAATAAAATACTATTATTTGTATGTGCTACCTATTGATAGGTTTGAAGTCGATGCCTTTAGTATAGATTTCTCAGATCGCGGCGAGTGTAGGTACCTACTATTACATTTCGCTTGGCATATTGGATTTGTGTTCGCGAGGCAAAATTTTTTATTGATACATAAAAAGTTTAGAATATCATATGCAATCTTTGTAGATATTTTAAAATAACTTGGATTAAGAAAAAAATGACCTACTATTTATGGCTTTTCTTTAACACACTTTATCAAGTACATATACAAGTTTTATAGAACAATATTTCAATATTTTTAGATAACAAAAATACAGGGCGGGCATAATGTAGGTAGATATCTTGGCTGAAAAACCTAGTGCCAATTTAGTTTAATATAGGCAAGATTAACTAAAAAAAGGAGATTGTAAGGAATTAGACAATAATCAGTGAATTTAGCAAACTGCATGAAACGAGTGGAGTAACAGGAAAACACTAGTGGACAATAATATTTTGTGTTCAAATAACACAAATTGACAACCCTACATTGCACTGCAAGTGACATGTGAATATTGATTAATGTTTATATGTAGATTGTTTTTATTTTGCTTATAACTTGATACTTGATAGTAATATTTTCTTATATTGCCCATACAATGTAAGAAAATATCATGTGCTAATTTTCCACTATAGCTCATTTTCCATTACATTATTTATATTATAAATCAATATATTACATATTGTGTTTTTAAGCAATATCAAAATTGTGACAGAAAAGTGAAAATAAAATTGATTATTTCTATGAGAAATTGTGATCCTGCTTAATCCAAAAACTGTCATATAAAGTGAGGTTTTAGCCACAAGCAGTAGGTAGTTAAATTATAATAAAAAAGTATAAAAATGATTATTCTTTATGGACAATTTTTTTTTATTATTTTTGTAATTATGATATAGTAGAAAAAATTTTTTTTATGTAAATTAATTCAGAATGTACCACTAGGTGTACAAACATCTTTAAATTTGTATAATTATAAAATACATAAAAATATTAAGTGTAAGGTAAAGAATGTACTTAAAAAAATTAAAAGTTTTTACCAATTTTAAAATAGAAGGAAGCAAAAATATTATTTACAGCATAATAAATATAAAAATATTATTTTAATAATTACAGCTTACCTTTTTCAATTACTGGCTGGGTTTTCTTATAAAATAGTGAAGAATAAGCAAAATTATTTTTCATCTTGGCTAAATTTGCTGGTTCTTTCCCTCTAAGTAATACTGCATCTAGTTCAGTGTAATATGGCAGTAGTCTATGGTTGAATTCCAGTCTCAATATTCTGTTAAAATAAAAATATTAATTAATATTAAGAAAAAAAAAATGATATATACTTAATAAACATTTAATTTGAGCATAACTATGAGTGATATAATTTGTATTAGTTGATATTTAACCATATGATTGAAATGAATTAATTGAATTGAAATAACAATAAAAAAAAACAAAACTAACCTTGTAGGAAATTTTATTTCTCGAATGGGTGGACTAAAAATCCTTGGTGTATCACCTGCATACTCAGGTTCTCCTTCCCATAATAGAATCCATGATGTAGGTCCTAAAGCCCATATCCTAACTAATGCCCCAGGATTATATGTTTCAAACACTGCCACTTCTAGTGGATATACAGCTCTCTCAAATGAAACTTCTATATAGGGTTAAAAAAGGTGTATTTAAAAATATTACTTTCTTAATTAAGTATTATTTTTCTTCATTAAATTTATAAAATAATATATATTTTGAAATAAGTACACTGATTTATTTAAAAAAAAATTTTTTAAAACACTGAAGAAGAATCTGATTTCAATACAAACCTACAAAATCTTGACTTGGTATTGCACTACTATTTTGTGGCATGTAATCCTTTTGTACTGAGGGAGCCTCATCCCACCAAGTACCATAAGTTCTCTGTAGCAAAATATTTTAATATAATTAATAATTATTATACAATATTCACTCCTCATTTTAAATAAACTAATACCTAGAAAATATACGTGATAGATTGGGATTGCGTTATTTATTAATTTACCAATAAAAAAAATTATAATAGAATTTAATAACTTACCATAACAAAAGCTTGTGGATAATCTCCATAGTCTGGAAAATTTGAAGGAGGGCCACGAAGATTGAACGCTGTATATGACACACTTATTTCGCTCCCATACTGAGAACTAAAATCCTCCACATTTTGAACAAACTGTTCTATTATTTGTGAATCTTTTTCTTCAACTGTATAAGAGTCGTCTTTAAACCACAACAGTGAAGATATTATATCTGAAGCACTTTGCATTTTTGTTATTCATAGATTGTTTATTATCTAATTGAAAAAAACAACCATCATTCACCAATATCAAATGAAAATGATGAATGAAAACAAACAACAAGAAAACAGGAAACAGTAAATGTCAGTTGTCACAACTTCGCGCTAGAATACAAATAAAGAGTACACAGATTATTACTAACTTTTTTGAACAAATAAATAATGAAGATATATGCACGGCACGGTTGTTTTTTTTTAATGTATGTAATAAAAAAATATTGTTTATATTTTCTATAGTAATTTATGATCAATAATTTATATATATAAAAAAATTCTTCTCATTAATAATAATTTTAAAATAGTTTAACTAATACCTACTTTTAAAAACCTTCAAAAATACATGCCATCATTATTTTTTATTAATAATATGTTACTAATTATGCAGTTGGTAAATTAATATTATTATAAAATTTTACACCTTACTTATTGATTCTTTATTTAACTTATATTGAAGTGTATAGTGGCATTTATTTATAGAATATACAATATTTATTTACTCTACGTACAAAATATGTAGGTTTATATTTTATATATAATTTTATGTTTTGTCTATGAATTTAATGTCAGCAATCTCGGCGTCTGTCCGATAATTTGTTGTTATGTCAGTAAATCCAATTTCGGTTGGGTTTATTTCTTAATATTTAATAATAATGGCAGCAGGACCCATTGCAGAAAGAAATCAAGGTATTGTGAAATTTCTTAGTATTAATAATAATCCGGACACATACAAAATTGTAGAAACATTTATATTTGAGGTTATGTCTAGTCATAATCAGTGTTATTCTAATAAAATAAAGATAAAATAAGTTATACTCACAAAATTCCAAAATACAAGTCAATCATGATGATCTTATTTGATAATGTAAGCGATGAGGTTAACGTTTTCTTTCATACAATAAATGAACTTCTTTTACTATTTACAGATGCCACAATATATGTGGGTGGTTTGGACGACAGAGTCACAGAGAGTTTGCTCTGGGAATTGTTTGTGCAAGCAGGACCAGTGGGTAAGTTTTAATGTAATATATAAAATATAAATTTTTTTTTTTACAATTTCTATGTAACAAGATGGTTATAACAGAAACAAAACTTGAGACATAAATTTCAATTATTATTATATTTTTAGTTAATGTTCACATGCCAAAAGACCGTGTGACACAGACACATCAAGGATATGGATTTGTTGAGTTTATGGGTGAGGAAGATGCTGATTATGCTATAAAAGTAAGTCTATGAGTTGTTACTGTTACATTGATGTATATTATTCATAGGCTAGTGCTCCTAAAACAACTAAAATAAATGTAGGTATATTTTAACATAAACCATTGTTGTAAAACAAAGATAATCTTTTGAAATTTGTTCTGTTGATCTGTACTGTAATTAGATATTATAAAATTTAAATTGAACTCTTTTCTGTACATTATAGTCTAAATAATAACATAATATATAAATTCTACTTCAAGATATCATAAAAAAAATGATAAATAAAATTATTAAAAAAAACAGGTTGGGCTCTGTTTCAAATTTACCTAGCATAATCTAGTGTTTATTATTTAGCTGATTAATATTTGACATTTTATTTTAAATAAAACTATCTTTTAGGATTCTTTCATGGGTTTATTAATATTTATTTATTTATTTATATGGATCTCCAACAGTATACATAATTTTTTACATTAACAATACAGCTACCTAAATCTAATTTATATTTATGTATTACTAATTATAGGAGAACACATCATTCACAAAAAAACTGTGTTTTATAATGCTTAAAAGTACCTACTAATAAAAAACAAAAAAAAGAATACAAAAAAAACAAAATAACAATAATTAACTTAAACTTAACAATATGATTAATATTTGGAACATTAGAAACTCATTCCTGTTTTTTAGGTGATGAATATGATAAAACTATATGGTAAGCCAGTAAGAGTTAACAAAGCATCAGCCCACCAGAAGAATCTGGATGTTGGTGCTAATGTGTTTATTGGAAATTTAGATCCAGAGGTGGATGAAAAATTGCTCTATGACACATTTTCTGCATTTGGAGTTATATTACAAACACCTAAGGTAATATTTTATTGTTATAATATCCCTATATATACATATAATATGTAAGACATACTTTTATGTGGGTTTACAGGGTTGTTAAGATATCTAAATTAAAGTTCATTGAGCAATCATTAAATAAGCCAGTCATGATATTGTTTTGTAGCTGTATAAATTAATTTTAACTTTGTTTTCTAGGTTATGAGAGATCCTGAAACTGGCAACTCCAAGGCATTCGCATTTATAAATTTTGCATCTTTTGAAGCATCAGATGCTGCTATTGAAGCGATGAACAACCAATACTTATGTAACAGACCTATTTCTGTATCATATGCATTTAAGAAAGATGTTAAGGGTGAGCGGCATGGATCTGCTGCTGAGAGGTAAGCGAAAACTTTTAAAATATATACAATATGTACTATTTAATAAATTAATATAAATATATCTTGGGACATACAGTACCGTCGAGTTCCATGGTAAGCTATGAGGTTGATACACTACACATATTATATACCTTTAAATACATACATTTTTGATGAATTTAGGTTCCGTGACTAAAATGAGATTTTGTGCACCTACATTTTTAGAATCTTTGCTAATAGTGAATTGCTTAATAGAAAGATATGTGAATGTTTCTTACTTATTAATGAATTGACTGGTTTATTTCAGTATCAAAACTGAAATCCAACCTTTCTCTTAAGAATAACTATGAACCATTATTATTTTGGCTTACTTAGCCTTTGTTTTCATTAACCAGTTAATGAGAGATAAATTAACCATTCCATTACCAAAATATACTTTTTTAAACCAGTTCCAAGCCCTGGTTAGAACTATTGTGCATATGCAAGAATGTCAATTTTTTCCTACTGAAAGAGTACATGAAAAAAAAAACAGTCATGAGGACTGCCAACAAAAGTGAAAACTTAAAACAATAAACACACTATTGTCATTTTTGGATTTTCAAATTAATTGTTTGATCTTAAAGTAATTTGTAAATTGAAAACTGTTTATGTTTATCTGGTTTTATCTTTCGGCAGTCTGAGTGTTAGCGTTAACACGTCACGTGACCATGTCGACGCCGACTTACATGAATTTATTCCCCATCCAAACCTGCCTATAGAAGTTCTCACTTCAAAAATATAATAAGCAACAACCAAAATGTAGTAGTTTAATCTGTCTGCTTATCAGGAGATTTATGAATCATCAATTGTGGGATTAAATCTCTTTGTTGGCCATTTAGTCTATCGTGACCTTTTTTATATGACAGTGTGTTATTTATGTTTCACATTACCATCTAGTGGATCTAGTGTATGAACAAACATACGTAATTAAACTGCGACAAAATATTTCATGTAAGTGATGAATGTTAAAAATTTAGTACCATAAAAATATTTAAACATTGTTTTTCTTCCAGATTGCTAGCTGCACAAAATCCACTGTCTCACGCGGACCGGCCTCACCAGTTATTCGCAGACGCGCCACCAACTATAATGGGTCCCATCCTCATGGCGCCACCACCACCTCCCACTCCCACACCAATGCCACCACCACCCCCAATGAACGCTCGCCCCCCACCCCCACTACCAATGGCTCCCCCACCACCACCAACATCCATGCCTCCACCCGGTCCTCCTCCGCCCCCTGGGCCACCACCCCCATTCCACCACTTCCCACCACCCCCATTCGGACCTCCTGGCTTTGGGCCCCCACCCCCACCAGGAGCAAGGCCCCCTCCCCCCTGGAGACCCCCACCCCCATCATTCAGGCCCCAGTTTCCCCCACGCGGACCACCACCCTTCGGACATTTCCCGCATCACCCGCCTGAACCAAACTATAATTATTAAATGTAACTAAATATAAATATAACTTAAATTTTAATAAACCATAATTGATTTTATTTTCGTTTTACTAATAAGTACACTTTAGTATTTATAAAGATGAAATTCTTTTGTTAATAAATCTATATATTTAAAACAAAGTCGGACTTGTTACAACACTTATAACTCGAGAACTGCTGGACTTTTATTGGATTTGTCTTCACCCTGAATAGCAGAATAACTATTAAACCATCGGAAAAATTCACGAAAAAAATATTAAAAAAACGTGTATTCTATGCTAAGCGTTAACCTAGGGACGAACCTGAGCCAAGCGAGGGTGAGTCCCTAGTTATTAGTTATCTATACTAATATTAAAGTTTGTGACGTTGTAGTGGGTAACCTCTGGATCTACTGGACCGATTTAGGTGAAATTTGGTAAGATAGTTTGAGACCCTGGGAAGGACCTAGGACACCTTTTATCCCGGAAATCATTCCTTAAGGGGGTGAAAATGGGGATGAAAGTTTGTATTGGGAAGCAAGCTAGGGACGAATCCGAGCAAAGCGAGGGTGAGTCGCTAGTAGAATATTGATATTATGTAGTCTTAAATTACTTTATTCTCAGACTAAGAAATAATATAGACAAAGTGAAATAGAACTAAACATTAAGCCAAAGTATATTATTTTAAAATGAATATTATAATAATGTCCACCTAACCGATTCCGGTCACGGCGGCTAATATCATTGAGACTAGCCAACTGCGCAGGAGATATTATAGTGCACAAGTGTACGCGCAGACACCAGTGCACTCTCTATTCCTGTCACTCTCATACTCCGGTGGGACGACTGCTCGACACGGCCGGTGAGAGTTAAGGCGCAGGACCAACGCGACACGTGCTCTCTGACTTCCGGGGCACGGGGGTGAAACACTGCCAACTTCCCCACTCCGGGCTGTTACTGGGGCATAATGTACAGAAAGTAAACTCGGCCCGACCCGGGACTCGAAGTCAGGACCTCCGGGTGTGGAGCCGTACATGCTAGCCACTACACCACCGAGGCAGTTAAATTATTTATACTAAATTTGTTGTTAAATAGTTACATACAAATTAATAAATAAAACTAGCTCAGGGATTTTACTATAATAAAGAAGAAATTAAATAGGTAAGGTAATATTACGTTATCTCTCTTTCTCATAATGCGAAGAAAATGTAAAAGAGTACAGTTTTATTCATATTTTATTCTGAAAAATTGTATTAATTTAAGTAAAACTTATCATTTTTTTTAAAGAAAGTAAACGCTGCTTGGCAAAATCGATATTTGAGAATAGTAATATGCATGTGTGTGTCAAATACATGGTAGTGTGTGTAAGGTTTTTTTATTGATATAATGTATTTTTTATGCATATTTTTTTAAATATTAGCATTCTGCACTCTTTCTCTATATAATTTACAGCTGTCAAATTATTACTGATAGCATAAAGCCCAAGAGTGTATAGTTTATCTATTCCATTCTAACCGTTAAAACGTACCTAGGGACGAACCCGAACCGAATATATAAGTATATCGGCTAACATACCAATAAAAAATATAAGCAAGCACCTCCGTTTAAAAGTCGTTCAACATATTTAACATAGACGAATAATAAATAATATTTATCAAGTAGGACAGGATATTTACCGATTTTACTATTTTATTTTTCGAGCTCCCGATATTTCGGCACTATGGCAAACGGCATGTTCACAAGATAAAAATAATGTTAATAGTTAAAAAAATTGAGCGGAATTCTTTTTCTTAAATAAAATTAGCCTAAGTTACGCCTTATAGCATCCGCTATCTGCCAGTGAAAGTCCCGTCAAAATCGCTCGTCATTTTCGGAGTAATCCGGAACAAACAGACAGACATGTATATGTAGACAATATTATATGTATCGTACATACTTTCATAAGCATTTAGTAAAAAGTTGTTATTTTGACATTACGAACAGACATTTAATTTTATTTATCTGTACTTATAGATAAATCTGTTGGGGTATGTTAATTACTATTACTTGTAGGTTTTCTTTATCTTTATCAAGTAGAAAGTACAGTTAGACATTTTCATACAAAGACTTGTAAGTTAAACCTATGGTGCTATAAAAATAATTTTCGTGATTTGTAGAAACATCTTACAGTCGATTAGTACCTAGGTACCTACTTCAATTCGTTCGACATTCTTAAAAGAAATAATAGATATTCATATAAAGTTAGATAACATACTCGTACAAAAATAGAACAGAATAAAACTGGAAATCCAAATACTGTCTATATATTTATTATCATTGTTCGATTTCTTTTATCTTCTCCATTTTGCAATAAAACTTATTCAGTAGAGTGGCTTCATTTGCCAGCGAATATTCTATCTAAAGCATTATATGTAAGAAGCGTTTTATGTCCATATTATAGTTCTAGCTTAAATCGCTACTTCACTTGAGTTCATATTAAACATTATGCTTTATATAATAAATATATAAAGACTAGCGACTCACCCTCGCTTCGCTCGGGTTCGTCCCTGGCTTGTTTCCCAATACAAATTTCATCCCCATTTTAACCCCCTTAAGGGATGACTTCCGGGGTAAAAAGTATCCTATGTCCTTCCCAGGGTCTCAAACTATCTTCTAACCAAATTTCATCTAAATCGGTTTAGTAGATCCAGAGATTACCCCCTACAACAAACTGTCTGTCAAACTGTCACAAACTCACAAACCTTTTCATAATAGTATAGATTATATGTTTATACACGAGGGCTGACTTGTTTTTCACCCAAAGAGTCAGTATTGCGATTTACTTAATGCAGCAAGCATACCTTCTACGATACACTCGTACTTACATGATATTTTGTAATAGGTATCTAATGGCTAGTGCCTAATTGATTATAACTGCCTCGGTGGTGTAGTGGCTAGCATGTACGGCTGCACACCCGGAGGTCCTGGGTTCGAGTCCCGGGTCGGGCCAAGTTTAGTTATTGAGTCTTTCTGTATAGTAAGTTTCAGTAACAGCCCGAAGTTGGGAAGTTGGCGGTGTGTCACCCCCGTGCCTCGGAGAGCACGTAAAGCCGTCGGTCCTGCGCCTTAACTCTCACCGGTCGTGTCGAGTGGTCGTCCCACCGGAGTATGAGAGTGATAGGAATAGAGAGTGCACGTTGTGTCTGCGCGTACACTTGTGCACTATAATAATATCTTCTGCGCAGTTGGCTAGTCTCAATGAGATTGGCCGCCGTGGCCGGAATCGGCCAGGAGAACATCATCATCAATTGATTATAGTGTAGGTACATAATAGGTATATTAACTTTTTTGTACCTATACACTATTTTTACAGAAATATTTAATTTCATTGTGTTTTTAATATTTAATTAGGTCCCTATAACATATACATATGTATGTATTGTAGTGAAAAAAAAAGTTATATGAGGTAGGTAATTTTTTTGGCTTGGGACATCTACAAAAGTAACCTAGCAGTAGGTACAGCTTCTATTGGTAAAAGAATTTTTAGAATCAGCTCAGTACCTACATAGTTCCGGAAAATATCTTCTAGAAGTTAACAAACAAAATTTAACGCTTTATGATAGTGTAGAATAATAAATATATTAAATTTCCCATAAACGGTCGATGGAGAAGCCTTTTCCTATTTTCACCTTTTGCCGATTAGGATATTAAACCCTTTGTACGTTAGTATCGAATCTGTTACCTAACCCTGTTAAAGTTTGAAATAAATGAATGATTATCATTACTTTATTCCTAATCTCTAAGACGTTACAAACCGCGTAGTTATTTACAAAACAAATCGCACAGTGTGAAAATGCCACCAAAGAGACAACTCAATGAAGGATAACAAAATATCGTATCCGAGCGATGCATATCGTATTCTTATTGTATGCGCTCGTTTGCTGCTGGACATTTTACTTTGCTTTATGTAGAAAGATTTTGAAATACGAAAATATTGGGAATATATGTATGTACCTATGTGTACCTATCGTAACATTCATTTATCGTTACAAGGAAAATCAATTTAAATGGTATAACTTAGAAGGTCAATCGAATAAAGTCCAATATATACTTATACATATTTCTCAAAAAAGTAAAGACATGGTTACTAACATCTATTCTAATATTATTAAGAGGAAAAATTTGTTTTTTGTTTGTTTGTTTCGAATAGGCTCCGAAACTACAGAACCTGAAGTTTTTTAAGAAGATAGTTTGGGACCTGGAAAGAACATAGGATACTTTTTATCCTGGAAGTCATCCCTTGGGGGTTAAAATGGGGATGACAGTATGTATGGGGAAGCAAGCTAGGGTCACGAACCCGAGCGAAGCGAGCCTACCTACCTACCGAGCGATACCTACAAAAAAATGTTGCGGGTCGTAACTATACCTAAGAGAAGTAAGGACTAGTCATTAGAAAAAGTTCGCAGAATTATGAATTATTATCGTACAAGAGGTAAATATTAACGTAAAATGAGCATTATTTAATCTCGTATTATTTTTAAATAAAATAAATCAGCTTAGAATACCACGGAACTTAAAGCCACATACCGACGGGGAATTCTCCAAATTTTGTATTAATCCTTACATTCTGCATTGTGATCACACGACGATAATGGCCGGTCAGAGTGAGGATTAAAAACATCGTTAACTGGCAACATGAAACACAAATATTTGTGTACGTGCACTTCCAAAGGATTACGTTGGAATTTATCTGATTTCTGCACGGTCATTGCTTGGTATTGTTATTTTTGTTTCTGTAGTTCTTTTGATGATTTAATGCAAATGTTTTGTATTTTATAGATAACTAGCATTGCCCGCGGCTCTGTCCGCGTTCAGATGACCAAAAACCAAATTCTTCGGTTTTACATATTAGTATACTCTTACAATGCAGTTTTTGTATTTTTTCGCGGAAATGAGATATTTTCCCGCGGTAAAAAGTATCCTATAGTTGACCCAGATAACCAGCTATCACCATACCAAATTTCATCGAAATGCCTCCAGTGGTTTT